AAGCTTTTTAGCTGCAAAGAGCTTCAAGAATATTGCCTGGAATCTATCTGTGATGATCCTGAACCTTTCTTCGCCTCAAAGGACTTCCTATCACTTGATAAAGAAATTCTTTTAATGTTGATTACACGTGATGATCTAGGAATGGAGGAAGTAGATATCTGGGAACATCTGATTAGATGGGGATGCTATCAAATATCAGGAATCAGGCAAACAAATCCTTTGAACGCAAAAAATTTTTCAGAAATCAATTTTCAAGATCTAAAAAAGACATTGGATCCTTTTATCCCTCACGTTAGATTCCACAATATTTCTTTAAACGATTTCTTTAGCAAGGTTCATCCATACAAAAAAGTTTTACCAAATTCACTTGTAGATGATATGATGTCCTTTTTGATAGCAGGAACAAAACTGAAACAAAAAAAATTGCCTGTACGCGTGTCATCTTCCATAGTTGAATCAAAAATAATTACGAGAAGACATGCGACCATTCTTTCTAACTGGATTAGAAGAAAAGGCGCTAAGGCCAAAGGAAATCAACATCAATTCACTCTTCTTTATCGCGGGACACGTGATGGATTTGATGCAAACGCATTTCACAAAAAGGTTAATGGCCAAGGACAAGCAATTGTAATTATTAAAGTAAAAGATTCAGGGGAAATAATAGGTGGTTTTAATGCAAGTGGATGGTGTAGTAAAAAAATTAGAAAATTTGGAAGGCGACCGTATATATCAGAATATTACGATCGTGGTTGGATAAAAAACTCTGATCACTTTATATTTTCCTTTGGGAGCAGAGATGATTATAAAACCATGAAAATTGGTCGGCTTATCGATAAAAGGTATGGAGTATATGACTATGGTGGAAGTATGATAGAATTCGGAGGCAGTGATTTACTTCTCGATGGAACAATCGGAACTTGCAATAGAAATTACTACGACCAATGCATTTTGGACACTGATACTTTTATTGCTGAGGAACTAGAAGTATTTCAAGTTAATAAGGAACATGTCAAGTCAATAAAAAAAAGAATACTCAACAATGGATTTTTTTTAGAAAAAAATGAACGATGTTAATAAATAGTAAAGGGTACTTCTAATTAATAAAATAAATACTAATAATTGTGATTGCTAAACAGTGATCTTTTCAATGCTTGTTTACTAAAATTAAAAATTTGTTATTAATTTATTGATTTTTGATAAAAATTTTTAAGAATAGATTTATAATTACAAATATATTTTTATATAAATTGTATAATTTAAAGAATAGTATTTGTTAAGTATATATTTATTATATTTTTTAAAAAACAAAAACAAAATATATTTATTGTAGTTTTAATATTAGAGTAGTGAAATTTGTTAGGATATAGTAGATATAAAAACAAAAACTTTATTCTATAAGTCAAAAATAAATTTGATATTAAATATAAAAAGTTGTAAATTAATTTCATAGATAAGTTTTTTTATTATTAAATTTGTATTTAATAATTAAATCAATTCTTTTTATATAAAAAGAAATTAATTTTAGATTGAAAAATAATTTGAAGTTTGAATTTTATATAAAAAGAAAACCTTTATTATAGATATAAATAGCAATAAAGTTAATAATATATTTGTTTTTAAGTAAATTAACAATAATTATTGTATTATTAAAAAAATCTTTTTAGTTAAAATAATTATACTAATGTAACAGAAAGAAATGGGACGCGATAACCATCACGTGACCTATTGTCACGTTAATATCCAGATGACTATGGAGATTAGGTAATAAAGGAAGAGTCAGGAAGGATTGTGAAAAAAGAATTATGTCATCCAGATTAGTCATGACATTATTATTAGCACTTATTATTCTATAGCTAAGTCATTATAGCCAGATATAACAAAAAAGAAGTATAAATAACATAAAAAATATAAGAGATAGAGAGTAGTCATAATACAAATAGTAATAGTGAGTAAAAGAAAATTAATAAAGACTCAGTCAAATAAAACATACCTCAAATCACCTTTTATTTACTTAACCTTGTAACAGTTATGCGAATCTCTGCTATGGTGCATTTCATCTAAAGATCAAAATAAATTATCCAACTTTCAAGATCCTAAGGCTTTTCTATTAGAGTATATGGAGAAAAACCAATCCATAAGAATGATAGAACAGATGATGCAAAACAAAAATTATGGTTTAGATTTTTTAGTTGACTAAAAAAGTTTTGAGTTTTAGGGATTTGAAAAGTAACAGTTTTCTTATGTTTTCGTAAATTTCCTTATGAAAAATAGAAATTTTCGGACACACTAGTCATGTAACTTTCGCGTATAACAATCCGTTATCCAATAATGCATATAGTTTTTATAAGCATTCTCTATTATTTCATTATGCCTTAAATCGCACAGAAGAATTCCCAAAAATGCATGGAATGAATTACAAACAAATTAATTCAATCAACTTTCGAAACCAGAAATTCAAAGAAATGTAAGTGTACGGTATATAATATAAATAAGTATATGCTGTTCAATTAATATTAAAATCGAATTTTACTTTATTCAAAATTTGAAGCATCTGGACAAGTAATGTAATTTTCAAAAAAAAATTTGATCGACAAATCCTTATTGTGATTTCAGAGCATTTTATTGGACGAATGTCATGTGATTGTTAATGATTTGCAGAACAAAAATTTCGGACTGTTTGGTCTTTAGATGAAATGCACCATAGAGTGAGTGACAGACTTGCCATTACACCATTACACTAGCTTTCAAAATCAAATACTTATGATTTAAATTAATTTATTTTTTAATTATAAAGATAAAAATTGATTATTATAAAGAATTAATTTAAATTTTTCTTTAAAATTTATACTTATTAATTTGAATTTATCAGAATTAACTTGAATATTATTTAATTCAAAAATTTATTGATGATATTAAGTTAATTTGTATAAATATACAGTGTATTGCAAAACTTTTTAAAATTTTTTATTTATTTATTGCTTAAAAACTACTATATAAAAAGACTAATAGATCAATAGCATGGTGAATAATGCTTTCTGGTCTTCAAACATATATCCCTAGTTCAATACCCATAGGAAGCAAAACATATAAATTTATTCTTTATTTATAAATTTATCAGTTTTTTACAAATGTTATACTCAAACATCTGAATCATAATTAAATTTAGTTAGGCTGCATGAAAATGGTATCTTTGATCTTTCTGATAATTATAGGCTAAAAACAGATCAAAGTAGAAAAGATTGTATAAGAAAAAACTTCTGGTTTAACTCTAATAAAAAGCCTACAAAAATTTATACCTCCTGATACAACAGACCCTATAGCACAAAAAGAATACTCTAACTTGGAGCTATTTTAATTTGATACTTGTTTAAAAAAAAAAGATCTCTTAGAGAAATCTGAAACCATAGGTAGTAACAAAGAGTATAGTACTTTCTTTGAAGTTTCAAGTGAAAAGTATTGAACAGATTACTCAGATGTTCTAATTAATTTAACAAGATACATATTCTTTGACTGTGAACAGTTACAAAGTTGCTAAATCTGGATCTAGCAGGAAGGCAGATTTAAACTGATGGCAGAACTTTGTACCTTTAAATTTGTCCTATCCAATATATAAATCCATCCAAGTGGTGCAAGTTTGTATAATTGGATTAATAAAAGTGAATAGATAAGCTATTACTAAGAATAATCAATAGGTAGTATTAAGTCTATATATAAAAATATTTTCATATGTAAAAGACATTTGATTTTTTTTTTTTTTTTTTTTTTTTTTACTGCGAACAGAGCAAGAGATGCAAGACTTTTATTAATTATATATTGA